CTAACGGGGGAGGTAACCCCTGATCGTATTGTGTTGATCTGATTACGTCAGCGTTTGAAGTCATGACCTGTTCATCAACAATAAGACTCCATGGTCAGTGTTCTCTAATTGGTGCATGCATGGGTGTGGATTTGTTCATGTTGTCTGCAAGAGGGGAAAGAGAGGTGAAGTGCTCTGTGTTTGGTGCTTCTGATGCAGGTGGCACTCCCACGACGAAGTCTTTGGATTCTTGCTTTGAATTGTTGCGCGGTTGCATTCGTATGGCCTTTGTTTGTTCCCCGGCGATATTGTGGGATCGACAGCATTCTACATAGATATCTTGCAATAGCACATGGTATGCTCTGAACACCTGTTCCCATAGCTAAAAACTAGCATTAGCAGATAGTCCACTGACTATTTTCATTGCCCCTCCCGTTGCAGCATCCAAGCTTTAGGGTTTAGAGTTTATGAGTGCTGATGCAAACCTCATCCTGACCTCTGGCTTATCCGTGCTAAGTTGAAAGTTTCCACACTTGCGATTCTGGCCGACTATGAGCGACGACTATGTGCAAAAAGAAGCTTCACACACTGAGCCCACCTGCCCACCGAAATCTTGGCTGACATCTTGAGATCATCAGCTTCACTCTCGCGGACTCAGCTGCTCAAACAGGGGCGGGTGGGGCAGGGCTGGGGGCCAAGCTGACTGACGCTCCAGACTGGGCCTTTGGGCAGCCCCATGGCCGCCCAGGGTCAGTTTTTGGGCATAGGAGCAGCAGCCCAGGAGCTGCTGGACCACTTGTGGACCCATAATAGTTTTGACATTGACATCCTTTGAGGCTTCATCTTCCTCTTTCCTTCCTCGTTGTCGTTTTTTTCCTTCTCCATCACCCTTCGTATGCATATGGAAATTTGCGGGGATGTTTCTTATACGGTTTGAGCCCACCCGGCTGTCTGGTGTTGATTCTCTGCCCACGTTCTTCTCTCTGTTCCGTGCACGGTTGAGTTGAGGTGAGTCCAATTGGGTCTCCATTGTGCTACATTTCTCTTTGTCTTGAACTTAGCGCGGGTAAGCCAACGGTCAGGATGAGGTTTGCAGATGCGAAGCGAAAGTCGTCCTGCATGGACTTGTCCCCAAAGCAACTGTGCACAGCCATGTTGACCACCTCCTAGAACCATCCATGGAAGGATATCCTTGCAAACACTGAGGGATAAGAGCTTTGGGCCTTGCCATACCACGCTCGAAATGTGAAACAGACAAAAATGTGGCGGGTGCATCTGTCCATGTTCTAGCAGGAAATTCATTCTCGTTTTGCACATTTCGAGAGTGGTGTGGCAATGCCCTTTCTCTCAGCATAGACAAAACAAGTAACCCTTGGGGTGCGGAAGATCAGGTGATGTGGAGGTGATGCGGAACGTTCACAGCAAACGAAGGATCTCAAGGTTGGGTACGTTCTATTCGGGGGAAGACGGTAGGCTTCTAGCCGAATCATTTTCGAGGTACTTCTTTGTAATCACCCTCCCTCCTGGGGGGCAATCAGTGCTGCTGGTCATGCATCCCTCAGCCGTAAAGGAGGGAAGCATTCAGAAGAGTCCCTGGTTTCATGTGCATAGTGGACATGTTTTACAGCACAGAGCTTCAATTGGTCTTCAATTGGGATGTTGTACCCGGTTTGTGACAGGTTTGGCTCCCAATAAATAGAGCGGACGCTTATATTAATTTAAATGGGGTGAAAAAGCCGATGCATCATCTGGCTTTTCTTTGTTTTGTTTTGGTATATTGACTGGATTTTTTTTTTTTTTTTTTTTTTTTTTGAAAAAGCAAAGGCCCCTTCTATTCCGAGGAGCGACAGTCCGGTTACTCCTCTTTGGCTAGCAGAAAACAGGTTCAAATAAGAGAGAGAAGGGGGGTTACAGCCGATTACCCCCATCACCCGAGACACTCTGTGGGGGAAAGTGGGGGGGCTATCCCGGGGTACCTTGCTAGCACCCACTCTGCTGATACATAATGGACGGGTGACAGGACACACATTATGTGTGCCGCGAGGGGGGATGCCCTGTACTGTGGTTGCTGCTCCATTCCTTGGGCTGCACTACAGTCCTTGTAATGCACACCTTATGACCACAGCACCCCTATTCCACTTTAGTTCCACTTCCCACACACCCGCACCTTGTCACATCGAATCACCAATATTCCTCTACAAGGCCCCCTATACCACACACATTCTGGCCCTGTCGCGAATCCACTTCTTCATCTAAAACACTTGCCCCATTAGAACCCACACCTCACCCTAAAACAGTTTCCCTTGAAATCTACAAACGTCGGCGCCACCCAGCAAGTTTCCCCCCCACCCCCCTGGTTTCCACACGTACCGGGAATACCACCTATCCTACCAACCCCCCCTGCCCCAGGACTCCTAGCTTTATGACTGGCTTAAGCCCCTACCTTCCTATCCTACGTGTTATGCTACCGCCGACCCTACCAACTACTAGATAGCACACTATAGGACACTACCGTCTTCAACTGAATCGAATGCCCGGTCATTATAGCTGCATCTGGACTGAAAGTTGGCCCCAAATACAGCTATGATGACTGGGCGTTCTATTCTGGTGAAGACGCACCTAAAGACCTATGGCCTGGAAAACTACCATCATCGACCTTATTCATCCGGATCCGGGGCACATTTTTGCAGAAGGGCCCCGAAGACAAAGCCGCCCGTCTCAGAGTCGTTCTTTGCTAAAGCTGGGCCACACACATTACAGTACTTCTGTATCTCTTACTATCTTTTTTATGTTTTTTTTTTTATAATAATTATTGAAGGTGTTGTACTAGGTGCTCAGCCTCTCCTTTTGTTTGCCTTTCGATAACGTGCTACGCTGTGTCCTTGGCCTGTCTCGTGTCCTCGTTTGTTTACCACAGCTGCTTTTCATACTTATCTTGGAGGAGCATTTGCTATCCTTTTTCCTGCTGCCATTGCCGTTGGTCGGACCTTTTTAACAAGGGTTGCCATGCCTTGGTAAGTTGAGTCCTCTCTGTCTAAGCAATATCCAATGATGATCTTTCTGTCTCTCTTCCCCTCCACGTCTTTATTTATCTCTTGCTCGTGTGATTCCAAATGCGTGTAAATTTGTGTAAAACAAATGGTAAGAAGGGAAGGGCTAAAAAAAAAAAAAAAAAAAAAGATAAAGGGCTACGTCTGACATTGAAGTATCAAGCTCCAGGAAACGATGCCATTGAGAGCAGGTGATCCACCGAGGTGTAGTATAACCAGGCTGGTATAACTGATACAAAGTTAGGAACAGAGCATGAGTTTGAGTCCTGGTGCATTCAGATGGAGACATGAAGGTTAGTGGGTACCTCATTTAATGAAAAAAAAAGATAAAAACCATGATGAACGGTGGCTTGCTATGTATGTTAGTCTGTGGCAATGTCTGCTGGGGTGAGGAGAGACGAAGAGTGGGTGCTGGACGCGCCGGGGGTGGACGGGGAGGATCTTGCACGCAGTGCCGTTAGTCATCTTGGGGCAACAAAAGTTGAAGATGTGACCAAGTTAGGTAACCACCGGTACGCGGCCGCAGCCTTGCAAGATTTCTTCACAATCGAGTCCTAACATTTTGGAGGGTCGGGCCTAATGGACCATAATAATTGCTGATGGCGCCAGCCAAGAAGGAAAAGCAGTGTGCCATCGGCGGTTTCGCAAATTTGGTGAGCTGTGTGGCGCTGCCAGGCCCGGGTGTGCTGGTGGTTTAAACCACCAGTACACGCTAGCCATCGTCCGTGGGCCCCTTTCGGATGCCGCCTGCCATCGATTTATTTTATCGACGGTGCGCTAGCCTCCTAAATTTTAGGAGAGGCTCAATAGGACTCTCAACTTGGCTGGGGCCATGTATTGGTGCTTTAAAGAAGATGGATAACCATCTCTTTAGAAAGCCTAAGCAGCCATTTCTTTAGAGCATTCTTTCTGATGGATCTTGCAGAGACGAGCAAATGGTCTTTGATGTTGAGGACTTGATTGAGCTTATGTATTCTTCAACAGGTTTGGACATCAAGTTTTTGCATTGGCAACGTTTGTTCCTGCGGCGCTGGCAGCTCTTTTGATGGTGCAGCTATGGAGAGAGAAAACTGCTGGCAAGGTTCACAAAAGCACACGGAAAATGGTGCGTTACTCATCTCTGGGTCTTGCCTGTCCTTGCCCGATGTACTGGAGCCAATGGAGCCAGTGGATCCACACTTTTTCTGCCGATGTTCTTCTGGAAAATGAACTCAGGGGCTTTCCTGCAAAGAAGTTTGTGGGAAATGGACTGAAGGGCCTTACTGCCTTCCTCTTCTCCCTGTGGTGGTTTCCGACTTTTCACACACACACACACACACACACACACACACACACACAGAGAGAGAGAGAGAGAGAGAGAGAGAGAGAGAGAGAGAGNAGAGAGAGAGAGAGAGAGAGAGAGAGAGAGAGAGAGAGAGAGAGAGAGAGAGAGAGAGAGAGAGAGAAAAGCAGAATGAGTGGAATTTGTTTTCATGCTTTCTCCGAAGTACCTGCAATCGACATGGTTTCCATTGTAAATGCACCATGTAAAATGTCCAATCCTCATGGTCGGAGAAGTTGCTAGCTTCTTCTTGTGTTTCCTGGAACCCCAATCACCTAAGCCGTTAATATACAGGCCCAGTAAGTATGCCCGTCCAACCTATTATCTGAACTGCATTTATCGACAACGTTTCCACATAGATGATACATCGTTAATTTGGGACGTTTTTGCCGCTCACCCCCTGAATTATCCTCCTTATAGGCCCCATGCAAGGAAAAATCTACAATGATTCAAAATAGATGATACATCGTTAATTTGTGACTGTTTTACTGCTCATCGCCTGAATTGTCCTCCTTATGAGCCCCATGCAAGGAATTGAGCAATGTGAATGACAATAAACAAAATTGCAGCATTCCATAGAAATCCAGATATCTTTGAGCCCGATTTGAAAGCAGAGTGCACCACGAGATAACACCAAATAAGTAAGAGCAGAGCACTGAAGTCAAATGATAATGAAAACCCTCTTCTCGCCTCCAACACCAATGTGAACGATGTCTCTCTCCTCTCTTGGCGCTCGGCGCCCAGACTACAATCGGACAGGCCCTATCGACCTAGACTCCTATCCACGACAGGTCATCCGTGAAGAACATCAGCCGGACAGTGAATGAAGACTCCGAGTGGAACGGCCTGCTTCTCTACCACGAGGTAAGTGCCTCATCACATCGCCCTCTCCGTGTCCTCCTCTTGCACAGCGTCCCCGCCCAAGGACCTCCACCTTCCTCCTCTGGCCATGGCGTTAGCGGCCCGGCTATGGCTGTTGCGCCCTGCCTGCTGCACTCTCACAGCGTCTTCCTGGCGCCGCGCCAGCGCCTTTCTTCCTCCTAGTGTGACTTTCTTCCAGAAAAGCCAGTGCTTCGGCAGCACTGCTGCCAGCCAGCCAGCCAGAATGTGTCAAGTGATCGAGCCTGGTGGCCGAAGTCCCAGTAGCTGCGCACAGGGCCCTTCTAGAATTTGCCTGGGGCTCAACTGTAAGTTTCCTGGGCCTCAGCACCTTTGCCGGGCCCCCAGCATCTTCAACCGACCGGCCTACTGGTTGGTTGAAGATGCTGCATGCAGCAACCAACCCACGGCCCCTTCCTGCTCATATCGGCCTCAAATTGGGCCGTCAAGAATTTCTGCAGGCCTGCCTTCGCTTACGGCGGGCGCAGGCAGGCCTTTTCCAACCAGGCCAAGGGCCCTATGCCTAGCACCCACAAACCCTGACATGTCATCTTTGTGCAGAGCCCTTTCAATAAGGAAAGCGACTCATCGTTTGGGACATCCGTTAAAATTGGAACGATACACAGATGATTATCATGGCCCCTGCATAAGGATGACACACATAAATCGAGAAATAGTCCAAATTAACAAAACTAAACAAAAAAAAGTAAGGAAAGCGACTCGGCAGCAACAGAGAGAACAGAAAAAGAGCAGGGGTGGTTCGACAGTGGTGATTGGGGGAGGGCGGGGGACTCGAGTGGGGACAGGATTCGCTGCAGGTGTTTCTCTGCGATATTTTTTTCACCTGGCAAAGGGCGTTTTTTCCCTAGTGTCTTTTCGTTTTTCCTTCCATTTGCTGCACCACAACATTGTGGCGAAGCGTCATAATCCCTCAGGGAATTGTAGGGATTCTGTTGTGGAAAGTTAATAGCTCATAGTAAACTAGCTCTATGTCGCTAACGCATAAGAGGACAAAATGGCATGGTAAGATACAGAACCTTGATGTTGAAGCTTGTGATGGTCGGTTACAAAGTCTGCCTGGCCTATCTGGGCATGCTAATATGATCGATATTATCGGCTGCAATCAGACTCGATTTCATTCACACTTTTCATGCATGTAAACAGCAGCGCAGCAAACTGGCGACATGCGCCCACTCAAAACTCAGAGATATGGCATCCAGATACGAGTTCACTTTCACTTGGCTTTGGCGACTCAGCGCCCAAACAACTCACTGTTCACATACACCGGATCACCCTGGATATCCCACACGCGACTCTCTGAACTCACACACACACACACTCGCTACACACTAACTCTAGCTATGGCGACTATGGCCGCAACTACCCTATCGCTATGCTACGCTCCTTCTTTCTCACGCCCACTTCAGCTCCGGGCTCACTGCAGACCTCCTTGCAAAAGTCGCTGTGGCAGCGCTTCCGCATGGCTCACGCAGGAATGAATGAATGGCTGGGCGCTGCCTGTTGATTTATACTTCTGAAACTCGTTGGTCTGCCCTCTTCCATCGGCCCATGGTGCTCACAGTCCCTCGTGGTACTTGCTGGACCGGACTGGGACTGACTGGACCTTACCGCTGACTGAATGGGGACTCACTGCTAACCTACCGGAGTCGTACTGCAATTGCACGACAGTTTAGTCCACCACTTGACTCACCACTTGCCCACTTGCTGACCTTCTAGAAGGACTACAGCTAAGACTTCTGGAACTCGCTAATACTTCTATTCTACAGATCTACAGATCGAACCCCTGCTACCTACGGACCTATGACAGCCTACCAACTGTTTACGAATACACAGGTCACAGGTTCAACTCTCGGGTCTACACAGGTACTGTACACAGGTAGGGCAAGGTCTAGGGACCGAACCCTGGGATCTGTGTCTACTACTGCAAAGAGGTGAAAACCGTTTCACTCCCGCCGTCCTAAATTCGAGGTCCTCCAAGAATATTTCAGTCCAAGGCAGGACCTTTACCCTTCTTATCACGCTCATAGGCTCTGACTATGTCGGGAGCTGTTTCTAGAAGTTCTGTTCTAGTAAACCAGCGGTCGTCTTCCGGTTCCTGATAAGCAAACCGGACCTTATGCTGTTTCTGTGGACGACCTCTACCTCCTGTGCTGAACACATCTTCATCTACAATGCCGTCAATCTCATATCTTCCGGCAGGATCATGGATCTTCTTGAGGGGAACTGTTGACTTGTGACACACGGCAACAGCTTTGAGGCATGGAATACAGGATAAGTGTGGAGGTGTGCTGGAATCTCTATTGTGTAGGACGGCCCATCCTCTCCGGCCTCGACTTCTAGAACCGGCCACAGTCCTCTATATGCAGGTAGTAACTTCTGCGAGATATGCTCCTCAGGTGCAAACTCTTTAGACTTGACCCAGACTAAGTCGCCTACCTGAAACTGCGAGGGTCGATGGTGCTTATTAGCCTGTTCTATCATTCTGTGGTGGGCCTTCCTGAGTTTTTCAACAACGGTAGCTAATTCTTTCTCGTGCTGTATCGCAAACTCCCTGGTACTGGGCGGTAACCTGTGAACCTGATCCCGGTTCAGTCCTTTGAATGGTCTGCGCGGTCTAAAGGCCTTGTGCAGCTCATTGGGAGTGTGATAAGTGGACAGCTGCACGCTGTTATTGTATGCGCTAGCTACCTTAGGTAACATCTCGTCTGAGTTGATCTGGTCGGGTCTAATGTACATGCGCAGAACTTGCTGTAGGATCTTGTTCATTTGTTCGGTCTGACCGTTGGTCTCTGGGTGGCCGCCAGACGACATCAACAACTTAGATCTGTAAACTCTCATGAGTTCTTGCCAGTTCTGGCTGGTGAAACGACTATCTCTATCGCTAACTATTGATAATGGGCCTCCGTTCTCACTAACCCAAAAATCGAAAAACTTTTGTATTACTAACTCTGTACGTGCCTCTGCAGACAAAGGAACGAAAACGACATACTTGGTAAATGGGTCAACTATGACCATGACTTGGCTCTTGCCATGTCTACTCTTGACTTGGGTATCCATGAAGTCTATGGACACTGAGTCTCCCGGCTGATCAGGAATAGGCAAGGGTCTGAGCAGACCTAGAGGGGCACGCGTAATGGTCTTGTTCCTCTGGCAAACTTTGCAACTGCGGACATACTCTATGCAGTCATTCTTCATTCCTGGCCGGCCAGGTATACGCATGCATTAGATTGGCTAGAGTCTTTTGCCAACCGAAATGTCCCTCTGTATCCTGGCATTCCCCTAGGATCAAATTGCGGATCTCCTCGTTGTTGGGAACGCATAGACGGTCGAATACGTTAGTCTTCTCAAATAGCAACCTGTCTGTAGTGCGATAATCTGGTTCAGTCTCTGGGGCCTCTCTAACTTTCTTTAGGAGGTCGCTATAGATAGGGTCTTGTGCATACACTTGCCTTACTTTCTCCTGCAGGTCTCTCCCTATATCTAGATAGTGTACTATGGCTCCAAAGTCGCCTGATCTCCTACTCAGAGCATCCGCAACTACGTTGTACTTGCCCTTCACGGGCTTGAGCTCAAAGTCATACTGGTCTATTTCTGCGGCCCACCTAGTCAACTTAGGTGTCATCTTGGCCTGAGTCTTTAACCATCTAAGCGTCTCATGGTCATAATACACTTTGAAGTGCCTCCCAAGCAGGTAATGCTTCCAGTGCTCTAGAGCCTGCCTGAGGGCGTAGAGTTCTCTCTCATATGTCGAGGTGGCAACCTTCTCTGAGGGCATCCTCGCTGACACGAACTCTACGGGTCTATAGCCATTGCCGTCGTCTTGCTGCAACACGGCGCCTATTCCATACTGACTCGCGTCCGTGGTGACGACAAAAGGCAAGGACGGATCAGCTACTTTGAGGACAGGGTATTCTATTAACGCGTGCTTTAACTTCTTGAGCGCAGACGTACAGTCTTTGTCCCATTGCCAGATTGCCTCTTTCTTTAGCATCCTGCGCAAGGGAGCGGCAATAGTAGAGAAGTTCCTTACGAACTTCCTATAGTAGTTAGCTAGGCCTAAAAACGACCGCAAGTCTGTGAGTGTGCGGGGCGTCGGCCAGTCTCTAATTGCCGCCATCTTGCTGTCCTCTGGCTTAATGCCATCTCCGTCCAACATGTGGCCCAAGTACAGGACTTGTGTCTTGGCCCACTCGCACTTCTTCGCGTTGATCTTGAAGTTTGACTCTCTCAATTTCTCCAAGACCTGCCTCAGATGACCCTGGTGCTCCTAGAGGGTCCTACTGAAAACTAGTATATCATCTAAATAGACTACTGCAACTTGTAACCACGGTCTGAAAAGATCATTCATAAAACGCTGAAAGGTGGCTGGCGCGTTGGTTAGTCCGAAGGGCATCACGATGAACTCATAGTGCCCATATCTAGTCCGGAACGCAGTCTTGTACTGGTCATCATGATGGACTTCTATCTGATGATAACCGGACTTCAAATCTATTTTTGAAAAATACTTGCAACCCTGCACCCGATCTAAAAGATCGTCTATCCTGGGCAGCGGCTCAGCATTCTTCACAGTAATCGCATTTAAACCCCTATAGTCTATACACATACGAAGCTCTCCTTCCTTCTTGGGGACAAACAGGATTGGTACTCCAAAAGAAGACGAACTGGGCCTGATCCAACCTTTCTCGAGGAGCTCGTCTAATTGCTTGCATAGCTCCTCTAACTCTCTAGGGGACATCCTGTAGACTGCTCCCTTAGGAGTCCTTCTGCCCGGCTCTATCTCTATCCTGTGCTGGGTGGGTCGCGACACTACTCCTGTCGGCGACTCAGTCAAATCTTTGAATTCCTCCAGCAGCTTGGCAATGGTTGGGTCTGTGGAACTATCTCCTTCCTTAGCCTCAGTGACAGGCCTCACATACACTACGAAGACCGGACACATGAAACAGGCGGGCAGTCTTAACCTCGCCTGACGGACTAGGGAGCCTACACTCATGCTCTCTCAAGTGGAGTGTGGCCCCTGCTGCTTCTCCCCAATCCATTCCTAACTCTATGTCGAAAGGAAGGTCATCCTGAACGAGGAGAGTTAGGGAATGAAGATCTTTCTCCACCTTTCCATCTTTCTCTAGGCGAAGGTACGCCGCATCGTGCAGTTGTCTGAGAGGACACTGACTATGGGGTCTGCCAACTTTTGGACTTTTAATCCTAGCCTCAACTTCTTCAGCGCCCTACGGCTAATGTAACTGCGGATGGCCCTTGAGTCTATAAGGGCCCCTACTTTGCTTCTAAACACCTCTACATCTACCAAGATCAGCTGTCCCTTACTCTCCTTCCTCATTTTGGCCCAGGCTGGCATCCTCTCCTTCAACTCTTCTGCCACACCTGTGAGGGACGTACCTATAGGGACGCTAACACAAGCAGCCTCTTGACAACTAGCTAGGCACGGGCCTGCAACCTCTGCCATAGGCTCATGTGGTTTGGGAGTTTCCTGTGTGCGCGCGCTCGCTTCCCCACATGGCCTTAAAGTAGGGGCAGTTGCGACCCCTACTGGCGGCTGCCTTTTGACTGCTGAGCAGCCCATCGGGCCTGTCTGTACTGAGGACAAAATTTAATTACGTGGGCCGGGTCACCACAAACCACGCATTGACCCAAGTTCACGCGTTCTTGCCATACGCGCTGGTCCAAGCCCAAGTCTTCCCAGGGCTTGCCCTGTGGCAAGCCTGGGTGCCATCCTCCTTGAGGTGGCCTTCCACCTCGTCGCTGTGGGGACCGACAAGAACCTTGGCGATTTGGCGGGGGACCTTGACCCCTACCTCCCACTTGGCGGTTCCCTTGTCCGCCAACCCCCTGTGCACCCGATCCTCGGCCTCCCATGGCCTGGCCCCTTTGGCCCTGGCCTCCTCCTCTACCTTGCGGCCTCCCTCCAGCCGTGACAGCCGCATAAGACGTCCCTTGCCCTACGCTGCTATCATCCTCCTCTAACCCCCACTCAATCTCACTGTAGGGGATCTCATCTGTACCACCCTCGTCTAACGTGAGGATCATATGATCCTTGGCCCTCACTTGGCCAGAGATGGTACAACCCTTCCACTTCTTTCCTTTGTCCAAGTCCTTGTGCCAGAAAGTGGACACTGGCATGGACTTTGACTCATATAGGACCACTTCTCTACTCAGCATATCATAGGTGATGTCGGCCTGTTGAGACTTCTCAAAGAAATGCCCACGCAGGGGCTCGGGCATGGCACGATAAAACAATTGGACCAACTGGGGCTCAGTGACCCCGTGGTCTGGGACGGCTACCAAGTCGTCCATAACGCCCTTGAGTGCTCTTGCACTCCTCCACTGTCGTGAGTGGATCGTTTGTAACTTATCAGAGGCTCTAACGCCTCTCGTTGGGTCAGCAAATCTCTCTCTCACGACTTTAAAGAATTGAGGAAGGGTGTTGATCTTAGAATATGCAACCATGTTGTTTTCACAACTGGCTGCGCGCGCAAGAGATCTGGCAAAACTGACTGCTTTAAGGGCCTGGAAGGCGACGAGGACTTGCTCCTCAGTCAGGATGTGCTGTAAGTATACGTAACTGTTCACACTAGCCTCCCAGTTATCAAAATTTTCTTCCTTCTTCCCTCCATACGCATCGGGGAATTTAAGCTTGATAGGCTCCTCACGGGGCCTGACCTCACCCTCTACAGCGGCTATTGCTTTGGCACCCTCAATGGCGCTTTCGCATAACTTTCCCACGCTGTCTCTCAGTCGCCTAACTTCGCCTCCAACATGGGTAACCATGTCACACGCGAAATCTCTAAACCCTGACCGCATGGCACTCAACGCTACATCCTGGCTCCAGCTTGCCTGGCGCTCCTCCATCCAGGCCGCACTCAACACTTCCAGATACCCCAACACCTTGTCCATTTTGGCAGAGATGTATGGCTGCGCCTGGACCTCTTGTCGACAATCTCTCACTTTTGCCACCTCTTCGGTCAGCCTATTAACCTCATCCCTCCTTCTCTTCTTCTCCCTCTTCATTCGCAATTTCGATTCCAACTTCTTCTCCTCTTCTCTTTCTCGCCGTTCCAGAGGGTCCTCCATCGCTGCTAGCTCACTAGCTAACACATCCCTCTCGTCCTGGGGGACATAAAACTCTGCCTCCTCGTCTTCCCCCAACGATAAATTAGCAATCCACTCACTTGTTTTCTTCTCCATTGCGGCATCCTCATTTACCATGCCACTGCTTTCTCCTCTCTCTTCTATACGGCTTCTCCCTTTGGCTTCTTCTGGTGCTGCTTCCTCTTCGGCAACTTTTCTCTTTTCTTTCTCCTCCTGCTGAATCCTCATCATCTCTTCCTCCAATTTCTTCCTCTTCGCCGCCTGTTCCTCTGCAATCGCCTTCAACTTCCTTTCCTTATTTTCTCTCACTAAGGCGACCATCTTCTCTTGTTGCTCCTGGGTGTAGAGGCCAGTGCTCTTCCCACTACGGGTCTCAACCATGGTGTCGGTGTACAACCGGATTAATGGTTCCAAACCTCACCACGTAGACTCTAACCCCTGACTGACAAACCTATTGACTCAATCTAAGACTCACAAAATCCGAACAGGGATCCTGCCAAGTAGGGTCTCTAGCCTAGACCTACACTATGGTTATCACTACTAGACCTGTTGCTGATCAGGAGGCATTTAAGGAGATCCCCCGTAACTCCTCAGGAATTATTTAACGTTGCAAACAGGATGACACGATCAGCAGGTCTCTCAACACTTAGACGGCCTGTTGTGCAGCCCACAACTCGGATTTTGGGCCTACCGTGCCACACCCAGCAGCCCGCCGGTCAGTACCGGTCCTTGGGAGGGTTCGTGTCCACCGGGACAGTCGAGTCGTCAGACACAGTCTTTGGCCCTACTCAGCCTGTGTGGGTTTGGTCAACAAGCCCCTATCCTTCATCCACAGAGTACTATCACCTAAACAGAAGAGACTCAATGTAGAAAGAAGAGACAGACAGACAGACTGGACTCAGCCAGTACCACAGGGTGTGTGCACATCCATAGGGCGAGGGATAGGCTGAAGGCTTGGCGAGATTATACCAGCTCCAACTTGGTGAAACTCGTGGTCAATGGTCTTGGTCAACGCCGGTCAACGCTGCGGTCATCTCTCGATCAACCCCCGGTCAACTCTGGTGAAGCCCCGGTCAACGCCGGTCAACTCCCGGTCAACCGTGGTCAACGGCTCCGGTCAACTCCCCGGCTATGGCGGCCGGCTTCCTCTTCGTCACCACCCTTCACCTTCCTTCTCTCCACCTCGCCTCTTCCTTCTACACCTTGACTGTCTGCGTTCTCTTTTTTTTTTTTTTTTTGATTGTCTCTCTCTTCACCTCTCGGCTATGGCTTCCCTCACTCTGTTCGGTCTCTCCCCCTCTGTCCTCTCTCACCCTCCTTCGTTACTCCGTGGTGACGCTTCACGGCTATGGCCGCTATCTTCTTCTTCGTGGGACTGCACGACACACCTCACAGGTTCGTAACAACCAAACTTGTATCGCTCATCTCTCTCTCTCTCTCTCTCTCTCTCTCTCTCTTGCCGTAGCGATATCTCCAGCGCAGCAGGTACGTAGTAAAGGTACGTAGTAACCCAATCTTGTATGGCTCAACCTTTCTCTCTCTCTCTCTCTCTCTCTCTCTCTCTCTCTCTCTCTCTCTCTCTCTCTCTCTCTCTCTCTCTCTCTCTCTCTCTCTC